TCAGTGCCGTGGGTGAACCTGCTGTGCTCCCCAGTGCGAGATGCTCGGGGCTGCAGGGGAGGAAATGCCCGTCCTCACCTTCACGGCCATCACCATCCTCACCTGAGGGCAAACCGTCCCCACCTTCACAGCCATCACCGTCCTCACCTGAGGGCAAACCCGGCCCTGTCCGTGTCCCTCAGACCTGGGTGAGCCTGTCCTGTGCCTCCACTGCTCCCTGCTCCTGCTGCCCCCCGATTGTTCCCCCTCCATTCAGCCCCAGCCGCTGCTCTGCTGCCATAGGGGCTCACGCAGCACTGCATTAAGTGCTCTGTCTGCCTGATGGATATTACAATGCACCTCTTGCAGCCTGATTCAGGTTTTTTTTTTTTAAATCTTTTTACTCCCCCAACCAAGTCCTGCCACGGTCTCTGATTTTTGAGGGTGCAATTCAGCGCTTGCAAATTATCTCCAGGCTCGTTTCTGTGCCTGCAATGAAATATCAGCCGTGGCTCAGTGTGTGAGTTGCTGTTAGTGCCTGCAGCAGGTAGTTAGAGCTCTGATTGCTGCTACCTCTGGCAGGCACAGAGCAAACACCGGGATTGGCACAGCTGAATCTGCCCAAAAGAGGGGAAGGCTGTGGCTGGGGCTCTTTCTGTGCTGGCTTTTGGGGTTAATGGTCCCCAAAGATGCACTGATGGTGGCTGGAGCACCAGTGACACTGAGCACCTCTCAGTGGTCAGAAGCTCTTGTTTCAGTCCTTCTGCAGTAGCTCCAGCTGGGTTAGGTGGTGAGGAGGCCAGGAAGGCACTGGGAAGGGCCAGGCTGCCTGAGGAGCTGGGTGGTGACAAGGACATCGAAGGCCAGGCGTCACAATCTCACCCTGGTGAGGAGTGTGGGGCCGTGGGCAGGGCTGTGGGGCTGTGCCAGGGCTGGCGGTGCCAGGGCAGGGTTCTGTGCCCACTCCAGGGGTTGCTAAGGACAAGATTTTCTCGAACCCTGCTGCTCTGCCCTGGTTTTGCAGGCAGGAGCTGCCTCGTGTAAGAGGCATCTTGACACTAAGCAGAATTTGCTGCCGGAGGGACTTTCCCTTAATAGGCAGGAGAGCAGCAGCTCGGTGGAGAGCTCTGAGGGACCCTCTCCTCCCTGACGGCTGCCCCTGGACTACAAACAGTCCCTGGGGACTATCAGCACCACAGCATCCTGCTGCAACCCTCCAGCCCTGCTGCCTGGCCCTGCTGGCACTGCCCATCCCATTGTGCCACCCCTGCACTGCCCATGCCCCTGTGCCACCCTGCTCTGCCCATGCCCCTGTGCCACCCCTGCTCTCTGCCAGCACTGGAGACCCAGCACCAGCCCCTTTCCCTGTGCCCCAGCAGAAGCTCTGTGTGATGAGGGAAGGGATTTGGTGATTTCTCCTCCTCAAGCCACCCTCCTCTTCTTCCATTGCATGGGTCGGGAACAGGGATGGGAGATCTAGAGCTGAGCTGGGAATGGGGCAAAAGCAGCATCCCCTCTTCCCAAGGCACCCCCAGCAGCAAAGCCACCAAATATCCTTTTTTTCCATGCAAACCCAGGTGAGATGGAGGGGAATGACAGGACAGAGTGACCCCCAGCAGCAAAACCCCAAATATACTTTTTTTCCATGCAAACCCAGGTGAGATGGAGGGGAATGACAGGACAGAGTGACCCACAGGAGCAAAACCCTAAATATCCTTTTTTCCAAGCAAACCCAGGCAAGACAAAAGGGAAGGACGGGATGGAGTGACCCCCAGCAGCAAAACCCCAAATATCCTTTTTTTTCCGAGCAAACCCAGGCGAGATGGAGGGGATGGACGGGACGGGGTGACCCGCAGGAGGTGGGGAGTGCAGTCCACGCTCTCATCTCCCGAAGCGGAAGGTGAAGCCCCCTTTTCTCCTGTTGTAGCCGGTGAGTTCCTCCGCCAGGTTGCCCAGGGCTCCGCTGCGCTTCTCCCCTCCCGCGGGCAGCGCCCCGGGGCCGCCGCTCCGGCCCGGCCGCGTCCCGAGCAGCTCCCGGGCGATGCTCAGCAGCGCGTCCCGCTCCTCCTCGCTCCTCCGCCGCTTCGGGGCTGCCCTCCAGCCGGGAGCCCGGCCCTCCGTGTGCCAGCCGGGACCCAGCAGAGCCCCTTCCCCGGGCTGGGCCGGCTCCCAGCGCTCGCCCGCGGGGAAGCAGGCGCCCAGGCTCAGCAGGAACAGGCAGGACAGCGAGTAGCGTGCTCTCATCTGGGGGAAGCACAGGGAGGGGAGGGAATGTCAGGGGAGCAGGGGATGCCCTGGGCTGTTCCCCATCCCTGCTGCAGCACCCCCAAACCAGCCCTGCTAGAACCCCCCGAGCTCCTCCTGCAGCAGCACCCAGCCCCAGAGAGGGTCCGAGCTCCCCCATGCCTTCCCTTCCTCTTCCCAGAAAGAGGAAACAGGTGGTACTACTACTACTACTACTACTATTATTATTATTATTATTAATAATAATAATAATAATAATAATAAATAATCTGGAGATATTGCCTTAAAAGCTGCTGCAGGTGCTGTGGGCCAGCCTCTCTGCTCCACCCAAGGAGTTTGTTTCTCCCTCCTGCACCAGACCCAGGTGCACTCAAGCCCCTGCCTGCCCTTCCCAACACCCCTTAGCTCGCAGGTTTCACTTTGGTTTCACCCCTACCTTTTCCACGCCTTCCCTCTGCTCTGCTCTCTCCCTGTTTGCTCCCCGTTTCCCATCATGGAGCCAAATTTCTGAGTCCCATCCCGGGGTCTGTGGGTCCCCAGCTGTTTCCCACCAGTCCTTCACTGCTCCCCAGCTGTGCTGCCCATCGAGGCAGGGGTGTAAGGCAAGGACAGACAGACAGACACACGGGCACCAGTCACTCACCTCTGCCCCTCGGTGCTGCCCAGTGCTGCCTCCCCTGGCACTGTCTGCCAGCCCTGAGTCCGGATGAGTGGCCAGCCCACTCTGGGCCATTAAATATCCACGGGCGCTGATTGCCAGGTCACCCCTGGGCTGTGGCCACGGGGAGAGGAGGGTGGGACCCTCGGGGACAGAGGGGACAGGGGTTGGTGGAGCTGCCACAATGGGAACGCAGCAACGCCGCTCATTAACGCACTGCTGTCTGCTGCCTCGTTTGGAGAGCAGCTGGGAGCTGGCCCTGTGTCCCTGGCAGCTGTCAGGGGTGCTGCGGGGATGGAGGGTCTCATCTGTCCCCATCATCGGGCTGGTGTGTCCTGTGTGCAGCTCTTGGGGGTCCCACCCATCCATTTGTGTGCACAGGCACCACTGGAGACCCCAAACCTGCCCAGGGCCTGGCCCCACATGGGCATGGCCGAGTGTTCCCACCCTCCCTGGTCAGCACACACAGCCCCAGTGCTGGAACACGGTCCCCAAGGCACCCTGCTGTCCCCTCCAGGTGTGTCCTGGCTGTGGAATTGGAGAGGGCAGCAGGGAGGGACTGGGGCATGGCTGGGTGCTCTGTCCCTTGGAGCAGGTCCCCGTGGCACAGACAGTGCCACCCTGACAGTCCCAAGGCCACCCCAATGTCCTGCAGGGCCTTGGTTTGGGCTGGAGCCCTGGGGAGCCTCCTCAGCCCCTGGGTGTCCCCAGCTCTTGTTGTGCAGAGTGGTTTTGGTGTGGTGGCACAGACATGTCCCCTTGGCACAGACACTGCCACCCTCCCAGCCCCTGGCCTAGGGCCACCCCAATGTCCTGCAGGGCCTTGGTTTGGGCTGGAGCCCTGGGGAGCCTCCTCAGCCCCTGGGCGTCCCAGCTCTTGTTTTGCAGTGATTTTGGTGTGGTGGCCAAGTCCCCAGGGATGCTGTGCCATGAGCCTGGCATGGTGAAGGATCCATCCCCCAGCACAGCGAGGAGCTGCAGGCATTCAGTGCCACTCCCTTTGCTGTCCCTCTGGCCGTGTCCCCGCGCTGTCACAGCTGTCACACGGTGAGTAACGATGAGATCCTTTTATTAAGGAGTTTAGAAAGTCCACATGTACAGCTTTGGACACACTCACACACGACCTAGACTTCACAGCACTGCTACACACCACGGCCTGGCCCAGGGCTGCTCTGGAAGGTCCATGGCCACATCCCAGCCCCACGGTCACCCCTGCCCACCCCTTCCCAGGGAGGTGTCACCACAGATGGGTTTAACCTAATCCAGGGCCGTGGAGCAATGCTTGAGCTCTTGGGAATAATCCTGGGAAATCCTGCGTCTTGGCATGGATTAAAAACCTCTCGTGCAAGTCAAAACAAATCTCTGGGGGGTCCTGGGTGACACAGGCGGTTACACAAGGATGTGCTACCAACAAACCAACGTACAACATTCCCTCCCTGGCACGGCAGAACGCCAGGGGAGGGGTCTGGGGGGGCGGGATGAGCCTTCCCACCCAGCACATGGTTCCATGTGCATTCCTGCCCAAAGCATCAGAAAACCCAGCTGCAGCTAACCCACCGAAATAACTGATCAAAAAGTAGAGTTGGATGCAGGCAGGAACCTTTCCAGAAAGGTCCAGTGGAATGCAGGAAGCTCCTTGGAAGCTGTCAGGGCTCCTGCTGTTGTGCTGAGAAATGCCACTGCTGAGCTCTCCCAGTTCCCATCGTTCTGGGTGTGGATGGAGCGCTTAGAGCTGAGTGCCCTTCGCTCAGAGCTCTCCCTGCCCTGAGGGCTCTGAAGGATCTCTCTGGCAGAGTAAAAGCTGTGGTGATCCCAGTGCGTGGTTTGTCCGTTTCTCTGTCACGGCAGACAGACAGACACTCACCCAGTGGGTGAGAGATCTTGTCCAGCACAAGATCCGAGGTGGGGAAGGCTTAAAAAAAAGGAGATTCACAGAGGGAAGTACAAACCTGGCACAGTTGGGAAGCTGAGCCTTTGATCTCCCCGTGCTTTAAGCTCCCCTGGAAATGGAGACAGGGGGAGTTTTCCTCCCCTCCTCAGTCCATCTGTCTGTCTGATGCTGTTTCTTGGGGCAGGGCTCTGCTGTAGCACAGGCAGAGAATGCTGTAAAGGGTGTCTGTCCCCTCCCCTCTCAGTCCAGAGCCTGATCACATTTGGTTCTCAGTTTTTTTGGACAAAATCCCCCATTTGAGTCCTTCCAGGGAGCCAGCAGGAGACATCAGTCCCATGGCAGCTCCTGCCTGGGCTGGCTGGTGCTGCTGCCCACTTATCAGGGCCCTGCAGATGCTAAGCCCCACTCGGGGCTTCTCTTTTGCAAAACCTTAACAGGATTTGAGGAAATGAAAGGCTTTGGATATCTGCAGGTGCCCAGCCAGTGCCACAGCTCAGAGTGCAGTGTCCAGGCCAGCAGTGAGCAGAGGGGGCTCACTGGGAGATGGGGCTGAGCTGCCCAAAGGGTCTGGGGAAAGGTCACAGCCTTTGCATGGTGAAAGTCTGATGTGAATCCAGTGGGTCTGGTTGGGAGGGAAGGGCTGTGAACTGCAGGCAGAGCTGTGTTGGGAAGTGAGCCTTCCTCGCCTCCTCCTCTTCCTTGCCGTGCTCCCTGTTTGCCCAGCACTGCCAAAGCAGCTCCGTGCTGTGCTCAGTTCTGGGTGTGCGTCCTTGCAGCGCTGCTCTGGCTCACTTTGGGGTGTCCTGGCCCGCTGGGGGGCTCCAGGAGCCAGGACAGGGACAGCGGGGAGTAAGGAGCTGGTGGTTGTCCCTCCCCAGCCGCGCTGCTCCTGCAGGGGCAGGGGAGAGCGTTCTGCAGCCCAAGGAGGAATTGCTGGCACGGTCAGGCTGCCCCAGCTGAGCCTCCCCATCACCAGTAGCACCATGGGGGAGCTGCAGCAGCCTCATCCCAGTCCTGGGGGTTTGGGGGGCTGGGGTTCCCCATGACAATGCCCCCAGCCCCTTGCCAGCTTGGTGAGCCCACTGCCAGGTGTAGTGCCCAGGGCAGAGGTGACCAGAGGTGCTCAGCCTGCCTGGGCTGCTGCATCCCTCCCTCCTCCATCCTTCCCTTCCTTCTGGGCACCTCTGCCCAAACACCTGCATCCTCTGTGCCCCAGCCACGAGCACAGGCTGTGGGTCACGCTCTGGCCAGGACACCTGGTCATGGCAGTGGGAGCAAAGGTCTGGCAACACCTCTGGGTGCCCAGGAGCCAAAGTCACCCTCAGTGACAGCAGATGCTCCCCAGGAGCCCCTCAGAGGTGGGCAAGCCCTCGGAGAGGATGAGGAGGGTGGCAGCTGAGGGAGTGGATCTGCAGGGAGCTGGGGAGGGGCAGGGCAGCGGGCACGGTGTGGGGGGCAGATGCCATCAGCTAATTCTCCTCGCGGATGGGCCGGATCTTCATCTCGGTGAACTTGAGCGAGTACTGCCAGCCGGTCCAGGAGGACCACTCGATGCCGTCGGCGTAGGAGCTGTGGTGGCCGCGCAGGTACTGCCCGTTCAGGTTGGACGTGTGGCAGTTGCGGTACCACCAGGCGCCGTGGTAGAAGGAGGCGCAGTTGTTCTCCGAGTGGTCGTTGTCCAGGTCCTTGGTGGTGAACTTCATCCCGTTGTGCTTCAGGAAGGAGTCACCTGTGCCGGGGGAAAGGAGTCCTGATGGGCACCTCCTGCCCTGTGGGGCTCCCCTGGGCACCCCATGGGGCTCCTCCAGCAGATCCCCAACCAGAAGATGCCCAACTTCACCCACCTCCAGCTCCCCAAAGCCGCAGGGATGCAGCTGATGCTGCTGCCCTGGGACACTGGAACACCCCAGCGAGGGGGTTTGGTGGTTGTGTGTCACAGACATGTTTTATGGAAATTTTTTTCTCCTGAGAAGCCTCAGGAACAAAATGTAAGTAATGATTATCTGCTGCTGTGGAATGCAACAGGTGGATCTGTGATTGGTCTCATGTTGTTGTTTCTAACTAATGGCCAATCACAGTCCAGCTGTATTGGACTGTGTTCAGTCACACGATTTTATTATCATTCCATTTTCATTCCTTTTCTATTCTGTCCAAGCCTTCTGATGAAATCCTTTCTTCTATTCTTTAGTATAGTTTTAATATAATATATATCTATATAGATTCTATTATAAATAATATAATATTTATATTTTATATAATAAAAATATACACATTTATATTATATAAATATAAAATTAGATCTTTTATATAAAAATGTATGTAAAACATATAATTTTATATTAAATTATATATTTATATGTTATATAATATTTTATATAATTTTTATATTTATTGATAATATATAATATTTATATAAAATATATGTATGTATAAATATTATTTTTATATATAAATTATTTATATATAAGTATTTTTATATATTATTTATATATAATAATGTATAAATAGTATATAAAATTTTTTTATAAAGATTATTTTATATAGATGTTCTTTGTATATAAAATATAACATTTTATACTTATATATAAATATAAAATAATATTTCTTTTATAAAATAATATATTAGCCTTCTGAAACATGGAGTCAGATCCTCATCTCTTCCCTTTCCTAATTCCCCTGTGAACATCACCACAGCTGTGAACCCCCCTGCCCATGGGGGATGTGCCCCCCATCCCGCTGCCCACCTGCAGTCCCTGAGTAGTCGGCGATGCTGATGGGGTACCCGTCCTCCTCGGGGTCCACGGAGAAGAGCCCCACCCCGAAGCTGCCGTAGTGGGCGAAGGCGGTGCCGTTGTCAAAGTCCTCCAGGTCGATGCGGAGCTCGTAGCTGCCCTGCACCGTCAGCAGGTGGATCCTCTTGAGCCCTGGCAGAGGCAAAGGGGTGAGTGTGGGGATGGCGCGCCCAGGGCTGCAGCCCCTCCCTCCCAGCCCATGGGTGGGGGTCTCGGTGTCCCCTCCATCACGAAGGAGCCCCGGAGCTCCCCAGGTTTTGCCATGCCAGCCCCACACACCCAGCCAGTGCTCTCCTGTCAGCTTCCCGAAGCCGTCCCGGTAGGCTTCCCAGCCACGGAAAAAGTTCACGGAGCCGTCCTCCCGCCGCTGGAACACCTGGGGACACACAAAGGGCATCAGCTGTGGGGCTGCTCCCAGCCTTGTGACCCCTCTGCTCCCCGCCCTGCTGCCCACCCCTGTTTAATTAGCGGCACAAATTAAGCCCTGTCGGCTCAGTGATTGCACAGGGATGAGCTCCCCGGGGAAATGCTCCATCCTAGGAGTGGGTGAGTCCGTTCAGGCAAAACCCTTCACAGGATCCTCTGCCTGGAAATGTGAGCAGAGCTCAGGAAACCTGAGTTCTTTGGGAACCTGAAGTTCTTTGGGAAGTTGTGGGGTGAACCTGAAGTTCCTTGGGAAGTCTGTGGTGTCCCTGGGGTGATGGACACCCTGCAGGCTGCCCCTGCACAGGGGAGCAGGGACGCAGAGGGCACAACCCGAGCTCTGTCCTGCAGCGCGGGGTGCCCAGGTTGCTGTGAGCCCTCCTGCCAACAGTGGGTGCCCAGAACTGTGTGAAAACCCAGCAGGGCTGATCTCCTCCTCCTGGATCTCCTTGCTCTCATGGGCAGCACCCCATTATAAGACCTCATCTCTGACAGCCTCATTAATCTCCCAGAGAAATTGTAATCTCCCAGAGAAATTAGCTGTGAGGCACTGCCTGCCCTGAGCCCTGCAGAGCCCCCAGATCCCAGGCAGATCCAGGGCTCAGTGCAGCTTTGCTCAGAGCCTTTCCCTTTCCCTCTCCCATCTGCTCACCAGCCCGTGTGCCCTGTGTGTTCCATCCCCTTTTATCCATACTTTTGGGTTTGATTTATTGACAGAGATCCAGAAAATGCTGCTTCATGCCCGACCATTTGAACTTAATTAAGCCTCCAGCCCTGGATTAATTGCATTAAAGTTGGCTGAGCAAGCCTGGCCCATTCCCACTGAGCTCCCGAGGCCATGGTGGGGACTGCTGGGACACTTGGTGTGTCCCTGGCAGAGCCCTGCCAGGGGCCAGAGCACCCCATCTTCAGAGCTGCCCAGCTGAGCTTCCAGGATTGGGGAATGTGGATGAGCCCTGGAGTTGGGGGAAGCCACTCTCCTTTGCTTCCCCTTGCTGCTCCTGCCCTCCCATACAGGTTTTTCACCCTGGCACACAAATCAGAACCCCCTGTGAAGCTCTCAGTGCTTTCCCTTCCCCAGATGGGCGTTTTTGGGGCTGGCTGAGGCTCTGGCACAGCTCTGATCCTGCTGTACTTACCTTCTAGAATTAGAGCCTTAATTTTTATCCCCGCGTTGAGCACTTGAGAAGCTGTGGTTAAGCCCATTTAAAGGGGCTTTCTTCAGCCTTGCTGGGAAAGGGGGACAGCGTGGCTGGACTGGGGCCTGAAGCCGCTTTTCCCCAGCCACCACCAGCTCCATGGCTGGCGTGGGGAAGGCAGTGGCTGCAGCACCAGTGCTCCCTCCTAATCGGCTTTGAGCCACGGCTCTAAATAGGCCAATTGCCTGAGTGGTGCCCAGGGAAGCGTGTGGGACAGGGCTCCGCTGCCTGAGCCTTGGCACAGCTCAGGAATCACCCCAGGAGAAGCCTCAGTGCCTCTCAGCCCACCAGACTCAGCCCCAAAGGGGTTTGAAGCCAGGTTTGTTGTTGGTGAGTGCTGGAGTCTCTGTGTCCTGCTCCGTCCTCATCATCTCTCATGCACAATCCCTTCTGTGCCTCTTTTTGCACCCTCCAGGTGCAGGCAGGGCTGTGGGGGCCTCCTGATCACCCTCTGTGGGTGCTGGGGATGTTGGGTGCACCAGTGACCCACAGCATCATACTGTTCCAGCCCTGCCTCGCTGCTTTTTCCCTCCTCATCAAATATGCATCACCCCCCTCTTAAGCAAAAAGGATTTCCCTCCCTTCTTTAAAGGCAAGGCTGAAATATTTATCTCCCTCATTCTCTGCCTCCCCCAGTTGCCCCTGTGGGGCAGGGACAGCCTCCTGCAGAGCCACAAACCCAGAAAAATGGGTTGAAAGAAGTGAAAAGCGGGAGCAGCAGCCTGTGCCTGTCACTGGCAGCTTCCTCTCCCTCAGCTCCACCAGACTCCTGGTGGGCTTGAAGCTCCCAGTGTGGGGACATCCTGAACCACCACAGAGCTGAGGTTCCTGGTCCAGTTTTGGCAGCCATGGCACAGAGCCCAGGGTGTTCTCTGAGTCCTGTCACAGCAGGGAGACCCAAAGAAAGCCAGGGAGAAGCTCTGAGCAGAGCAGAGCCAGGCCCCAAGATGTGCCAGTGCCTTGGGACAGATGTGAACACCAGAGCTGGCAGCTCTGCCCTCCCAGGAGCTGCTCCTGCCCAGCCCTGCCAGCAGAATTGTCTTGTGCTGTTTGTGGTGGCGCATAAACCACATCCTCTGGAAACAGGACCTGTTTGTGGCTCGCCTCAGCCCTGCCTGTGCTTTACCCCAGCCCAGTGTCAATGCCCAGCCCCATCCCTGTCCAGGACCCCTCTCCAGGCTGCTGAGGCTGTCCCCAGCAGTGTCCCAGCACAGCAGGCACCCCTGAGGCTGGGAGCTGTCACCTGATGTCACCACAGCCCTTGTGCTGCTGGCACAGCCTTTTCTCCTGCTTTCTTTGGCTCTCCACCATTTCCCAGTTCTCACTGCACATGAGGTGATGCTGAGGAACTGAGGTGCTGATCCAGGGGATTTTACCCCAAATGAGGAGCAATGGAGGCTCAGGAGCACTGGGAGGAGCGTGGGGCATTTGCAAAGACATCCTGAAGACAACATCATGTGAAAAGGACGCTTTTGGAGCCCTGCTGAGTTCCCTTGACCTCCACCATGCCATCATCACTTTCAGGAAGAGCCAGAGGTGAGTGTGAGGGGCAGAGCTGGGCTGAGCAGCCCCAGGGCAGCCCCTGCAGCCCCAGGCCGTGCTGGGCACAGGGCAGGGGTGGCACTGACCCAGATCCACATCCCCAGCAGCACAAACGTGGCCCTGCTGCTGCTGGGCAGGACAGAGGGGGGGACAAAACAGCCCAGGATGGGGACAGGGAGCCAGCAGGACCCTGCAGAGCAGGCTCTGGGGACAGGGAGGTCCTGAGCTCTGGCCCTGGCCCCTGAGCTGCCCAGGCAGCCTAAAGCTGAGCTCAGCAGCTCCCGAGTCAAAATTGATTCAGCTGCTGCCATCGCTTCACCCACCCACCCACATGCAAATGAGCCCAAATGTCAGGAGAAATCATTCGGGAAGGGAAGGGAAGGGGAGGGGATTTCTCAGCTCTGCCCCACAGCACCCATCCATGCCATGGCTTTCCTGGAGCCTGGATCAGGCAGTGCCCTCACAGCCCCATTCCCCCAGAGCTGGCTGAGACCATTCCTGCACCCACGGCACTGGGGGCACGTTTGGGACCCTCTGCTGCAGAGCAGCCCCAGAGCAGGAGCTTGGGGTGGGCACCCTCAGCCCAGCCCCGGCTGTCTGTGGGACCCTGCTTTGGCCCCTGGCCCCACCAAGGCAGGGCAGAGCTCTGTGGTGTCTGTGCCACTGCACTCCCAGGCTCAGAATCCCTCGCTGAGCCCCCTCCCCAGCCCAGCCGAGCCCTCCCGCCTGCAGCAGCTTTAAATAAGCCTCTGAGTGTCTCACTAATCACCTTGGGCTGCTCTTCAGGCTTGGCTGGGGCTGGCAGAGGCTGTGCAGGCTGTGCACGGGGTTTGCAAGGACCCTCTGCACCTTGGGGAGCCCGAAGGGTCCCCTCTCCCCTCTGTAATCCCCCTAGAGCTGAGGTCCTGGCTGTGCTGTGCCTCAGTTTCCCCACCGGAGCTGCGGTACCACCCTGGTACCCAGCACAGGTCCCTCCTGCCCTGGGTGGGCTCTCAGCAGCCCCTGAGGGCAGGGGGGCTAAGCTCCCTGCTGGCCCTGCTCAAAGCTGCTTAGGGGGATCAGAGGGTGGGGATTTGTTTCCTAGAGCGCCCAGCTGGAGGGGTCCTGGCCCAGCGTGTCCCCAGGGCAGAGGCTGCCCGGCGAGACCCCCAACACCTCCTGGCACCCCAAGTGATGCCCTCCAGGGCAGGGGGGGCCGCTGACCCCCAGCTGCTCCCTGGGGCAGTGGCAGAGCCCTGTCCCCCCCCTCATTGCTGTGATCACAGCCCATTGCAGCCGCTGTGGCAGAGTGAATTGGACAGGGAGTGAATCAGCAGAGGTGCCCCAGGCAGCCTGGCCTTAAATGAGGCCAAATGTCCGGGTTTGGGGTCTGCCCTGAGCCCCAGCACTGCCCCAATGGGGCAATGCACAGCCATATACCCCATGGCACAGCCCAGCCCTGCTGAGAAGGACAAATCCCAGAGGTGGCACCAACTCCCTCCTGAACCCTCCAGCCCCAGCCCAGCTCCCCAGTGCAGGCAGGCACAGGGTCCAGCTCAGGGTTCACCACTGGCTGCACAGCCAGCCTCCCTGACATTGCCCCTCCTGGTGACACCCCCGAGTGTCCCAGTGCCATCTCCCCAGTGCCAGCAGCGCCGTGTCCCCATGTCCCCGTGTCCCTGTGTCCCCAGAGGGCTGCTGGCAGCTCACTCACCGTCCAGCCGCCCCCGTCCGTGCTCATGTCACAGTAGACCTGGAAGCCATCGGGGTAGTGGGTGGGGAAGATGGAGTAAATCCCATCCTCCTGCTGCCCACTCACGTAGATGTCAAAGCAGTCTCGGGGCCGGGAGCCTGCAGGGTGCCATTGGGGTGGGGTGGGGTGAGGGGAAAGCTGGTTAATCAATGGGCTAATTTAATGTCTTGCCATTTCTTCCAGGCTCCCAACTTTGCTTCCAGCTTGGTGCTGCTCTGCTCTTTCCCTCCCTTCTCTGATGCTCGGGGTGAGCAGTGCCAAGGGGGATGCCACCACCATGGGGCTCCCCAGCAGCTGGCAGGGACTGCCCTCATGTCCTTGTGAGATGGCAAGGGCAAGCTGGCACCCAGATGGGGACAAGGGACAGCCAGTGCCCAGGGAGGCTGTGGGAACATGCTCCCAGCTCCAGGACAGGCTCCCTCAGCTGCATCCCAACCCAAGGCTGAGGGATGTGACTGTTCATCCCATGCAGGGCCACCCTCCACACCTGATGGAGGTGAATGCTCTGCCTAGTCCCTGCTACCCTCTGTGGGAGCAGATGGCTTTGCAGGGGTGTGAAAGGGCTTTTGGGCTGGTTTATGGATGACTGGGAGCTGCAAGGTGAGAGCTCCCCCTCCCAGGACACCCCTTTCCCTCTCGCCCTCTCCCACCTCCTGCGCTGTGCTCTATCCCTTCTCCAGGATGCTCTGCCCCACGCTGGGTGGTTCCTCCCTGCCCCGAGCATCCCCAGGCCCATCCCTCTCCCCAGGGATGCCTCTCACCGTTGGAGCAGCCCCGGGGCCGGGCTCCCCTGGCCGGGGCTCGCTGCAGGTCAGCCTTGAGCCGGGGCCGGGCCCCGCCGCGCTCCCTCTGCAGCGAGTCCAGCGCGTCACTGACGGAGCTCACCAGCCGGGCCATGCTGCTCTGGCTCTCCGACAGCAGCTACGGGCAGGGACACGGCGGGGGGAGACACAGAAATTGGGGTGAAATGGTTAAATCCCTTCCACATCCCTCCCTGCCCCTTGGCCACCGTGCTCAGCAATGCCAGGGTGTAAATCCACAGATGCCATAAAATATCTCTGCTGCTTTATCTCTTGATTTTTGGCAGGGCTCAAGGTCCAGATAAGCACCTACTGCCCCCAGGGAGGAGAAATCCCCAAAGCTGGGTGCAGTGGTGCTGCAATCCCACGGGATAAGGAGCATCTCTGGGCAAGGACAGAATGACGGAGGCGGCAGGAATAGCCGTGTCCTGAGGCAGCCCCCAGCTCCTGTCATCCCCTGAGGTGACCCAGGCTGGGACAGGGACACGGGGTGGCTGTGGCAGAGCACCAGGATGGGCAGAGAAGCGAAGCAGCAAGAAACAAGCAGCTCTGGGCAGAGGGAGCTGAGTGCCAAGAGGGTCAGGCATGCAGCACCCAGCCATGCCCTGGATCTTGCTGTGACACCTGGCAGAGCCCTGCATACTCAGGTAAGCATTTCAATACAGCTCATTGGCTGGGAAATTTTGGGGACTGTAAGGAGTGGGGGCTGATTGCTGCATGAACTGCCCTTGAGAAGGTTCTCTGGTGTGCTTAGCTCTCTGGAGCCCATAAACTGGACCTGGAGCTGGGACACCCACAACATGGGAGGCTGCACACCAGGCTCACTGGCACTGGGGTGGTTTGGCAGGGAGACTTCCCAGCTTCCAATTCCCAAGCACTTACCTTCAACCTCAGCTCCTTCACCTGGAGCTCTCCCCTGGATGCTGAGGGCAGGAGCAGCCATGCCCCAGGGACATTGGCACAGGGAATTCTACCCCCAGGGGTTCTTGGGGTTCACTGGGTTAGGATAGACGGGTTTGGTGGAAGGCTAGGCCTAGGCTGCTTAGGGTGAAGGCTGAGTAGAAGCTTAGGTGGAGGTAGGACATAAATAAAGTTATAGGGTGGGAGTTATAATCTGTTGAGTCGAAATCAACCATTTTAGACTAACTTTCTGTTATTCTGCTCATTCTAATCCGCCTTGAATTCATTTGTAGACTAGTCCTAGGGTAAGGAGAAGTGAGGAGGTTCAGGTTGGGGTGGTGGTAGGGGATTGCAGCTGGGTGGCTCACGATGGCAGGAGGAGTGGGGCCTGCCCTGCCTGGCACTGCCAGCCCCAGCTCACCTGGATGAGCCTGCCCTGCTCTCCCTGCAGGGCGCTCAGCTCCTGCCCCATGGCGCTGTGCCCCTTCTTGAGCCCGTCGCAGTCGGCACGCAGCTGCACGGCGTGGCTCAGCAGCTTGGCCACCTCGTCCGCCACCGTCACCAGCAGGGCCTTCTGCTGGCCCTTGGTGGCCTTGGCCTCGGCGTCGTGCTCGGTGAGGGCGTGCAGCAGGGAGCTCTGCAGGCCCTCCACGCGGCCCAGGGCGCCGGCGGCGCTGGGGCAGTTGGGGTCGATGAAGATGTTGATGCGGGAGCTGTCGGCCTTCTCGATGGTCACCAGCGCGTTGGCCTCCTCGGGGTTGGTGCTGATGACGGGGGGCGGCTCGGTGACGGGCGTGTGGTAGTGGTTCATGAAGAGGATGGCGCCGGTGACCGTCACGGCCAGGAGCACGGCCACCGAGAGCAGCACGGTGCACAGGATGTAGCCACAGCTCATCCTCTGCGGGCAGACACGGACACGCCATCAGCCCCATCCCCTCACCCCTCAGGTGGGCTCTGCACGGGATTTGGGGTCTCACTCCTCACCCCAGAGACAGGCTCTGCCCGGGACTTGGGGCCTGGCAATGGCTCTGAGGGCAGGGAGGACCCCAGGGAGCCCTGCAGGGACACAGAGGCCATCAGCACTGCCCCATCCCCTCACAGGCAGCCTCTGCACGGGATTTGGGGCGTGGCAATGGCTCTGAGGCGGGGTGGCGACCCAGGGAGCCCTGCAGGGACACAGAAGCCGTCAGCACTGCCCATCACCTCACCCCTCACAGGGGGGCTCTGCCTGGGATTTGGGGTCTGGCAATGGCTCTGAGGGTGGGGACCCCAGGGAGCCCTGCAGGGACAAGGAGGCCATCAGCACTGCCCCATCCCCTCACTCCTCAGGTGGGCTCTGCACAGGATTTGGGGTCTGGCAATGGCTCTGAGGGAGGGGAGGATCTCAGGGAGCCCTGCAGGGACACGGGTGAGCAGTGAGTGAGCAGAGCAGCCGAGCCCGCCGGGGAGCGGGCCATGAAATAATAACGAGAGCAAGGCACGGCACCGCCCGCTCCCGTGGCATGTTTTATTTACAGCTCTGATCCTCGGCTGGAGCAGCCCTGGCTCCCCCAGAGATGTGTGTGGGGCTCCCTGCTGCCCTGGGCACAAATGTGGGGGGAAAATGGGAAAACACCTCGTGTCCCTCACAGCGGGACCACAGGGAGAGCAGCACTGGTGGCTGTGGGGCTGTGCTGGGGTCACTGAGTAATGTGGGGACCTGCTGTGCACAGGGCAGCTCCCAGCTATGGCAGGCAACTTATCTTCATCCCCCTTGTCACCTAATTTCCTGCTGGAGGGGGCAGAGCTGCTCCCAAAGCTTTGGATCAGTCCCAGAGCCTCCTGGCAAGGGAGAGTCACTTTGGGAAAGGTCTCTGACCCCCCCCCCCCCCCCCCCCCCAGCCCCTCTGGCAGCTCTGCTGCTGCTCAGAGCCACGGGCTCAGCCCCTGGCACCTGCTCCATGCCCACCAGGAGCCTTTTCTCCCTGCACAGCCTCCAGTGCCAGCACAGTCGGTGCAGGGCGGGTGAGCTGCCACCCGATCCCATCGGCTCCCTGTCCCCTCCCCTGCTCGTTACACCTGCAGGACAGAGGCTGTGATTTCCCCCTGACCCTGGCCACGGCTGTCACAAGGAATTGCAGGGCTGGCAGCAAACTGCAGATTCAGAGAGACAAAGACTACTTTGCCCAGAAATGAGGGGAAAATTGCTGCATCTGCAAAGATTTCCCAGGCCCTGTCCCCTCCCGTGCACATCTATCTGGAGTGACACCTTCCTTCAAGCACCCTTCATTTCATTCCCTCTCACGCAACCATTTGCATTAAGGTGACCCCACAGCAGCAGCAGGGCTGGCTGGGGGGCTGAGGATGCCCCACCAGCCCCAGGGAGTGCTCTGGGTTTCTCGTCTTCTCCATGGAGGGAGATCAAACAGCACTGGGCTGGATGGAAGCCACCTGCAGGGAGGACACAGCCCCAGGCTCAGCCCCTCGGTGCAGGTTAAAAGGAGATGTCAAAGGCAATAAGGAAAACTGGGCAATCAGGGGGTAGAGGAGTTTGCCTGGTGTGTGTGTAGACACAGAGCCCTGCTTGGGGGCACAGGGACACCCAGGAGCAGCAGGATGGTGGCAGACAGAGGTGGCAGATGCCCATTGCTCACATCCTTAAATGGGCACCCAGGACCTGGGCTCAGCTGGGCCCCTCAGCGGCCTGGAGTGACAGGAGCGGTGGCTGCTGGCCAAAGGCCAGTGTCAGTGAGATCTACAGGGTGAGCAGGGACCGTGTCCCTGTGGTTGTCCTGGCTGTCACAGCACCCTCATCTCCAGGGCTTTGTGCCCTCCCATGCTGCTCCCCACAATGAGCCATGCCCAGCTCGAGGGGCACACGGAGCTGCAGGGCACAAGGTCCCTTTTGAGCAGAAAGAGCTCCCAGAACAGAGCCATGAGTGGATGAGGCTCCTCTTCCCATAGCCACACAATCCCAGCTGGGCTGTAACACACCAAAACCTCCCAGCTCTGTCTGGGTGTACCACACCAGCAGCTGTATCCAGCTGTTTTCCAGCCCTCAAGCCTCACAATCACTGCCCTCCCACCAGCAGCAGGAACTGGGGGCCAATCCCCTTCCAAAGGGATCCCCCCTGCTTGTGGCTGCGGGATCCTGAGTGGCAGCAGCCTCAGGAGTCCCACGGCGTTTTGCTGGCAGGTTTGTGTTACCTGGCAACCTGCAGTGGGGAGAGGAGGCAAACCCAGCCAGTGGCACCAGCAATGCTCCAAACTGGAATGGGGGGCCCCCCAAGCCCCTCCAGCACAGCAGCACTGCAGCAGCATGCCCAGCTGGGCAAGGGACCCTGCAGATACCCCCTGCCACTCACTCCTGCCTCACCATGAGCCAGCTCTCATCATCCGTAGGGTTCCTGCTGTCTGTTCCATGGCCTCAAGCTCCTGGAATTCTTGCCAAGACTTTTGGACAGCTTTAAGACATCCCCCTGCCCTGGTTATTGATGTTCCCCTGGGGATATCCACTGGGCTGGAGGTCCCAGTGTCTTGAAATCATCTTTCCTAAGGAGAGCAGAAGCTGTGAGACTGAGTGGTGCCTGGGATGAGCTGATCTTCACTTGCAAACCTGCTCTGGAGCCTGGAGGGAGCCCCAGGCAGGATCCAAGGGATGGTTGTGTCCCTGGTGAGTCGGGCTCTCCATGCCCTGCCCTGGCACAGGATCTACACTTGGTCACCCATGGGTCCTTGGTGACCCAGCCACACTTCCTGAGCAGCTCTGGACCCCATCAAGAGCCTCAAATCAGCCCCCAGCCCACTCAGCCAGCCAGACTGGCCGTTCTGGGATGGGGACAAACAGCTCCAGCACTTGCAGCCTGTGGGAAGGGAAGGACACGAGCTGGCTTGTCCCCAGGGCACACAGAGGTGGCTGTTCCCTGGAGAGCATGGATGGACAGGGGTGGCAGCAGAGGCTGAGCTCTGCCCTGGGAGATGCTCTAAGATGAGGAGTCCCCTCTGCTCCTGCACAATCCCTGCTGCTCTCCAGCCCAGCAGACTGAGGGATGGCAGGCAGCGTTCCCGCAGCCTGGCTGCTCTGCTCTGCCCCCGGGCTGTGCCCTGAGCCAGGGACGAACCAGAGCCTCTGTTCTGCTTCCCAGGTAAGCGAACACTGAGGTTTGCATCGCCCAGGCTCAGCTGCTGGTGTAACTTTAGTCCAGGTACCCGCACCTCCCTGCCGGGGTCCACCCAGCGCTGCAGGGTCCCCCAGCCCGGACCCATCGCTCACTCAGAGCTCAGTTTGCATCCTCGCTCTGCTCCCCCGCTCCGTCCCTGTCCTCCCTCGCCGCCCATCCCGCCCTGCTCGGCTCGGGGCTGCAGCCGCCTTCCCTCGCCCTGGCCGGGGCTGTGTCACCCCCGCGGGCACGGAGCGGCTGAACCGAACCCCGCTCCCGTTTTCCTGCTCTGCTCCGTCACCCAGAGCCTGCCTGCCACAGCTGCCTCGGCACGCCGCGCTCTGCGGATGGGGAGAGGAGAGGAGAGAGCACGGGCAGGATGGATAGCGCACCGAGCCGCTCCGTGGGTGAGCACGCTGGGCTGGGCTGGGCTCCACCGGAGCACGGCAAACTCCGAGCATCCCTGAAACCCACCGCGAACCACCCGGCCCCGCTGCCTTGTGGGGCTGGATCCGTCCTGATCCTGCCCGGCTCGCCCTCGGGGGCACAAACCGGGGGGTGGCAGCTCCAGACTGGTGGCACCGCTCGAATCCCTGTGCACAGGGAGGGCTCTGCCAGGGAGGGCAGGGCAGGACAGGCTGGTTTCACTCTCGGGGGGTCAGGGGTCTGCCAGGGAGGGCAGGACAGGCTGGTTTCACTCTCGGGGGGTCAGGGGTCTGCCAGGGAGGGGAGGGCAGGACAGGCTGGTTTCTCTCTCTGGGGTCAGGGCTCTGCCGGGGCGCGCAGCCCCTCTCCACTGAGCCGCTGGCAGAAGGAGAATTCGGGCAGAAACCCCTCTCTTGCCTTGCTGCGGGTGTCAGGGGACAGGAGAGTGGCGGAGCGGGGGTCGAGCGTGTCGCCCCCCCTGCTTGCCCAGCTCCTGGGTGCCGAGGAAGGGCAGCACTGCCAGCTCTGGGTCCTTTCCCTTCGCTCGCAGGCTCGCTGGAGATTTGCTGTCCTGCAGCTCCTCGCAGACACGTTTGCCCACACTCCGCACTCCTCCTTCCCACCCTGCCCGCGCTCAGCGCGCATCCGTGCCCATCCCTGTGCCCATCCCTGTGCCTATCCCTGGAACTGTCCAGGGCCGGGCTGGGTGGGGGATTGAGCAGCCTGCAAGGTGTCCCTGCCCGTGCCACGGGGGTCGGAACTGGGTAATCTCTAACATCCCTTCCAAGCCGAGCCATCCCGCGCTTGCCGGGCTCGCAGCCCGCTCGGCCGGGCTGTGGAGCTGCCACACGTGCGGCGGGGTGTGCAAACGGGCTCGGCACGTGCCGGATCCCCGCGTGTCACCGCAGGCTCTGCCGCCGCAGCGCCGGCCTCCCCCCAAATCCGGCGGGGGCCGGGAGCCGGGAGCCCCCGAACCGGGAGGGGTGAGCCCGGCTGCAGCGCGGAGCTGAGATGCCAAATCCCCTTTAAAGGGTTATTTCAGCAGTTTAGAGCGGTTCGGCTGTGTGGCAGCACCGGAGCATCGCACGCTGTCCCAGCCCGGGGCAGTCCCGGGTTAATTAACCCGCAGGTTAATGAACGCATTAATTGGGAGGGGGGTGAGGAGGTGCAGCCCGGGGGGCTCCGCACGGTGGGGACAGGGGACAGCTCGCCATGCTGGGGTGCGCCGGGAGAAAAGCTCGCTGAGGACACTGGGGGGTGGCTGGGACCCCCGGGCTGGGTGACCCCCCCCTGCCCCCCTTGCCCCCCGCCCCGTACCTGTGATTTCTCCTGCTGCCCATCCTCAAGTTGCGAGGCTCCTCCCACGGTTTTCCAACGCTCGTTCCCCATCGCGCCGCCAACTTCCAGCCCAAGTAAGTGCCCGGACCCCCACAAGCCCCCCAAAACCTCCTCCCCGGCGGCGCAGCCCCCGGCCCGCCCGCGCTGCCCGGCTGGCCGCGGCGGAGGACGGGCGGCGGCGGCGGCGGCGGCGGCGGAGGAGGAGGAGGAGGAGGAGGGAGGGAGGAAGAGGAGGGAGGGAGGACACGGGCACGGACACGGGGGTGGATCTTCCCTCCCCGCCCGCCCCGACCCCCCCCGGGGCTCCCCCGGCCCCGCTCCGGGCACCCCGCCCGGTGATGCCCCGGGGGATCTCCCCGCCTCCCCCAGCACCGCCCGCCGCCCCCCGATCATTCCGGACCCGGACCCGAACCCCCCCTCCAGCCCCGGGCTCCGCGGCTGCCCAGATGTGGCAGCACAGCTGGAGCAGCGGCAGCAGGTAAGGCGGGGTGCCAGCGGGATCGGGGGTGCTGCAGGGCCCGGGGGGAGAGCGGGGGGTGCCCCCGGAACCCGCTCACCCCTTGCCGGAGAAACGCCCCCACATCCTCCGGCGGAACGCCCCGAGCTGGTGGGGCTCAGTCCCACGGGTGGGCAGGGATGGGCAGGGTGCCGGGCGTAGGGGCGGAGAGGGCGGCATTGGCATCGCCACCCCCCAAACCTTTGCGCCCGAGGGTGGCCGAAGTGCTGGGGGGCTCTCGGAGCAAACCCCGGCGCACTCTGCGGAGCCGGGGCGAGGCACAGCCGCCCCCAGCCCCTACAGGGTCACAGCGCTGCCCGAAGCCCAGCGCTGCCAGCCCCGAGCCGTGGGGCTGGCCCTGCGTGCCAGGGCTCCCTCCCGGCCCCGTGTGCCGCCGCTCCCGTGTGGATGTGGTTCTCCCTTCCCAGAGCTTTGCCGCACCTCCCGTAAATCTTTTATTTGCCACTTGTCTGACCTGCGGGCAGGAGCGTTGCTGAGAGGTTCAGAGGAGCAGCGTGAGAGCAGCGATGGCTCAGAGCTGCTTCAATCCGGCTGGGGGGAGGCTGAGCTCTCTCTCCAGGCTGAGAATCCCCTGGGAAACCTCCTGGGCAGCCCTGCAGCCCCTTGTCCTGCAGCACGGGGGGGTCCCCTGGGCACCCCCAAATCCCCCTGGGTCGCTGTCCTGGAGCTCAGCCCCAATCGGGACCTGCAGCAGCTCCCGTGTAGCTCCACTGGGGTGGGGGCTGCCTGTCTGTGGGGCAGGGGTGGCACAGGTGTCGCACGTTGCATGTGTGGGGGACCAGGGGTTCAAGCAGCTTGTCTCCAGGGCACACACCCTATTTTGGGAAGAGCTGGATGCGTGCTGGGCTGGCCAATATTCCCTAAGAGCTCTGTGGGGCAGAGAGGGGAGCACAGGCGTTGCCTCAATCCATCGGTTCCCGTGTGTGTGTGTGGGGTGAGTGCATTGTCTCCCGGCCAGGTGCAAATCCTGCCTTTGGCTGCAGAGATGTTTTGTGTGGATTTACCGGGCGATGCTCACTCGTGGCTGCCAGCCCAGCTCCTTCCCCATGGATGCTTTTCAAGGACTTCCCTGTGCAGCTGAGCCCGGCCAGCCCGTGCCCCTGGTGCTCGGTGTGCCCGCACCAGCCGGGCTCGGCTCCCGGAGGCAGGAGGCGCTGCCCCCGGGAAGCTGTTTAAGCAGAACTCCAAACAATAAAAACTTATCATTAAAAAGAAATGCATCTTGGCTTCATGTGGCCTGGCAGCGCGGGGAGGAGTGATTCAGTGGCTTGTCAGCCCTGGGCGTTAGGCACGCCGAGCTGCACAACTGGACACTCTCCAAGTCCAGCAACTCATTTTCTGCAGATGGAGCCGGGACCGTGCAGCGGGGCTGACGCTTAATTTGCAATCCAACATACCTTGACATAGCCCACAGCCGGACTGCGGAGGTGGTGCAGGGTGGGATCTGGGAGCCTGCTGGCCGGGCTGTGCCGGCAGGGCTGGTCCCTCGCAGCCCTGTCATGTGTGGGGTGTCCCCACTGCTGTCCCCTGGGAGGGTGCTCGGTCCCAGTGGTGCCCCCAGTTGCCGGTCTCCAAGCTATGAGGTGAGCGGGATGGAGGTTGCCACCCTGGCAAAGGGGTTTTGGGAGCTTCAGTGATGCTCAGGGTGAGCCCTGCCCGTGCCAGGGGCCAGCAGGGACACTGGCCTGGCCCATCACTGCCTTACACTGAGCCGTGCCACCTCCTGTTACCTGTCACAGGGTCCGGCTGTGGCTGTGGAATTGGGGACATGGGAAGGGGCGTCCATGGCCAGCTGAGACCCTCGGCCCCACAGCGCTGGGCCCAGCTCCACAGGCTGTGTCGGGAGGGATTGGGCGCTCAGGGTGCGCCTTGTTTTGGGCACACGGTGGTGGCTGGGCACCGATGGGCACAGACCCACCCCCGGGGCTGGGGAGGGGGCTCTGCCAGAGCCCAGCCCGGATCGATCGGCATCGGAGAGGATGATTCATGTCTCAGGCAGTGGCCCGAGGGCAAAAGCGGGAGAGGTTTGATGTGAGGATGCCGGGAGGCTGCGGCTCCTGCGGGAGCTGTGGCTCCTGGCAGCGCTTCTCCTCCCGGAGCTGCTCTGCCCGCGCTGCCCCCCGGTCCCGGCTTGGCCTGGGGGAAGAAAACAGCTGAAGCAACACAGGATCAGACCCAAGCTCTAAATAGAGCCCTTTGAAACATTTCAGACACTCTCTCCTACGTTGTGGTCCAAGACAGCGAGCAGAGTTGCAGTGGGGATGTCGGGCAGAGGCTGGGCTGGGGTCAGCGCTGTGCCCCCGTGGGGACAGGACACTACAGAGAGTGCGACAGGAGGGTGGCACTTCACCCTCCTTGTGCTCAGCCACACTCGGTGCCAGGGCTGGTGAGCGCACCGATATCCGTGGGTCCAGCCCAGAGAGGGGCACCAGGACTGTCCCAGACACGGTGCCAGGGCTGGGGTCGGGGACACCGAGCCCTCCCCAGGAACAGCGTGTGCTTTCCTTGGCAGGGAGCCAGGGGAGGCAGAGCCGTCGCTGCACACGCACGGCGTCAGACATCATCATCATATTAATAATGAAAGGGCAGCTCCTTCAAAGCTCTCCGTCCCCGCGCCGGCGAGAGCGCGGAATGCAGAGGAGCTGCGTGAGCCTCATCCCAAGCAGCCGAGGGAGAACGCTGCGGTGCCCGGATGGTCCTTCGCTGGTCCTTCACCGGGCCACCGACCCGGAGTGACAAAACCCACCCTGGTCCCCGCTGGGGGCTCTCCCTGCTGGCAGTGTGGCTGCTGCGGGGGTCCCTGCACAGGAGCGGGGCAGCCCAGGGTGTGCCCAGCTCCTGTTCCAGCAGTGCCCTGTGCTGAGGCTGTGCAGGCTCCCCTGTGTGTCCCCAGGCTCCCCTGTGTGTCCCCAGCTCCTGTCCCAGCACTGCCCTGTGCTGAGGCTGTGCAGGCTCCCCTGTGTGTCCCCAGGCTCCCCTGTGTGTCCCCAGCTCCTGTCCCAGCACTGCCCTGTGCTGAGGCTGTGCAGGCTCCCCTGTGTGTCCCCAGGCTCCCCTGTGTGTCCCCAGGCTCCCCTGTGTGTCCCCAGCTCCTGTCCCAGCACTGCCCTGTGCTGAGGCTGTGCAGGCTCCCCTGTGTGTCCCCAGGCTCCCCTGTGTGTCCCCAGCTCCTGTTCCAGCCCTGCCCTGTGCTGAGGCTGTGCAGGCTCCCCTGTCCCCCTTTTCCAGCCCGTTTTGGCTGCCAGGGAAGGAGCCTCTCCCCCAGGTCCATCACTGAGTGACACGGCAGGACACCGCTCACTGTGTCAGGGCCTTTTTCTTCCACAGGGGGAATCGATGGCTCAGACAAGAGACAAACCACCCACAAAGAGCTCTTGGGCTGCAGCCCACATGGGGTCAGTGGCATCGTTTCTGTCCTTGTTCCTGCAAGATATTTGGGTTTTTAAAACCCCTCCTTTAACACCCCTGTTTTGTCTAGAGCATCCCCCAGCCTGGTTGTGCTTTGTGAGGGTCTCAGCAGGACCAGACCAGGGCTGAGCATCTTTTTTCCTCTTTCCCCTCTGCCAAACCCTGTCGTCCACTTTTGGCCCTCTTTGCTGCAGATGCCATGGTCTGGGGAGGAGAGAATGGAACCCTCTGTGCCATGAGGAGATGGAGCATCCTGTGCCTACCCCATTTCCATCCCAATCCCACTCCATGCCCACATCCCTATCCTGGCACCCCAAGTGTTTCAGAGGGTCCCACCCTGCAGCAGTGTCCCAGAGGGGTGGGTGCTGCTCTGTCCCCTCCAGCTCTTCCTTCCCAGCCCTTTTCAAGTTTTTTTTCCCTCTCCTCCCTCCAAACACAACAAAAGCCCCAAATCCCCCGCAAATGAGAAACCTCTTTTTGTTCCTCTTTTCCCTTTGCTCCCTGCTACGGCAGAGTATTGATTGGAGCTGATGTGCTGTAATCCGCTGTTTCTCTGAAAAGTTGGCATCCCAGAGTCCCTGGAGGGGCCAGATCCTGCCCTGGTGTGGGTATTGCTCCTCTGCCAGGCTTGTGGATAGCAGGGAAGCTGCATCCATCCTCATCCCATCCCATCCCATCCCATCCCATCCCATCCCATCCCTCTCTCCTGTCCTGTCCCATCTCTACACTTGGTGAGAGGGACATCATGAGCAGCTGGTGGGTAGGAAAAGGCTCTGGTTTGGAGCAGATCCAGGTCAGATCCCACTGGGATGGATATCCAGAGTGCTGCCTGCCCTTTTGGCAGGGCAAGGATGGTGACAGGGAGGACATAGGAGAGGGGCTGGCTGGGGGGATCATCAGGGATCTCCAGAAAGGAACAATTCATTTTCCTGACAGCCAAGGAGGGCTGTGGGGAGACAGGGCTGACCCCAGGCTGAGAGGGGCTCACTGTGGGGTGCAAGGCTGTGTCTGTGGGTCTGGGCCCTGGCTGGAGACCCCCCTGTGCCTACCCAGCTCCATTCTGCTGCCACTCCATCTGCAGTTAATGATGGCAAATGGGCCAGAGAGCTGGAAAGTCAGGGGAAAGAAACCCAGCCAAAAATCGCCAAAAAACACGGGGAAGATTTTAATTTAAAACCTTTTC